GCAATCATATGGGTAAGACTATTCCTGTTTACAGAAGATGATTCTCTAGCCAAAAGTGCACAAATCTCTGTGCAAGACTATTTATTTTTCTTTTACAGAAAACTGCTTTGTCACCAAGAAACAACTTCTCCTTAGCTTCTGTCTTTAACCATATTTATTCTGCAGTGACTGCAGCTCATGCAGACATACAGAGCCAGTCTTCAACAACCTGGATCAGGCCCTGAGAGCACTCGTATGGAGAATAATGAGGGTGTAAGTGTCAAACAACTGGCAAGTCCTGGGTTGGGCATCCTGTACTGAGCTCTGCGACAAGCTCTCAGCAATGTGGCTGTTGGGAGCAATGTGGTGTAGTTTGAGTCTGTGTGAGTTGCAATCACTGCAAGGCAGAGGAATCCTTCAAATCTCCTGTCTAGCTCCTGGCTCCTTCTACCTATCTCAGCTCGAGGCTTGTAACTCCAGGAAATCGTTAGTGCAAAGGGCCCCAAAAATGAGTCAAACGTTAAACACAAACACGTTGTGAAGCTGTTCTATCCATCAGAAAAGCCACAGCTGTCCACAAAGTGCATTATCCACCTGCTCTGACTGATAATACTTAACAGAAGTTTCTTCCAGATGCTCTTGTATTTATCACTCATAATGCAGACCATATTACCACTTTCTACCATAAAAGTAATTGCTTTGCACTCTCAATTTCTTTTGAAAACTTCTCATTTGGTCTCTTCACCCTTTGGCCAAAACTTTAATTTTATGTCATTAAGACATTACAGTTCAAAATGTTAAATTATGTCATTACACGACAAGGTTTATGCCTGGATGGCTCACTGAGAATGGTGTTGACGAAGCTTAAAGCTAAGATGAATTCTGACTATTTTTGTTATCATCCTGCATGCCATTAGTTTAATAACATTCAGGCCTTTAAGTCACTACCATTAGTTCCTATAAATTAAAGTAAACCATGTAATACTGTTCTCTCCCTTCCTTTTGCTAATGGCTTAAACATAATGTGAAAGTCTTTTTAGAAATACCTTTTTTTTTCTTCAAAAGGCAGTTTTTTAAATGAAAAAGGTATGGATTGCTGTGTAAAATCTGCATGATTAGGAAACTGCATTAAATAGGCTATAACCTGAAGAAAGTCTGCTAAACTTGAGTTATATTTCCCAGATGTGAAACCTGCATGGTAGTTTACTCTCATGCCTAAGCAAATAAGAAATGAGTAAGCACTATTTTTATCATGTAGTGAAAAAGGGAACCTTCTTTTATGGTAAAAATACAGCCATCTTCTGCCGTTCATTTTAACAGTCAAATTCCTTACTTACAAGCACTCATTAACCTATGTAAATATACAGAAATGTAGTCATCAAAAGCACAGAGCAGGTGGACAATTCAGCACGATAAGTCTGCAGAGGAAGACAGCTTGCCTTTTTTCTGTCATCTTCTCACCTTTTTACCATCCTGTTGTGTTTCATATACTTTTAACTGTTTCCTTGTCACCAATGCTCAGAAATAGCTGTGGTGCCAGGTACTCGCACAGCCACTGCAGACTCATTAATGCGCCTGGAGAAGCTGATCTGCAATGAAGCCTCCAGACAGAACTATTACCTGTTTAACAAAACAGCTGCCCAGCTGCTGATCATTGTCTAAAAATTTCTTGTTCCTGAATGTTTTTCCACATAAATAAATACTGCCGTGACTCTTACACTTAATTTATTGTCTCTTCCCCTCCACTGAGCTACCACATAATGATATCTACATGTGTGGGGCAAAGCAGAGGAAGAGCTGACAGGGCAAGTGGAGGTTCCTCTAGGGTACAGTGTTGGTTGCTCCCCAGGTGCATTCTTCCAAAAAGCCATGATGGAGCCATGACTGTCCCTTAAGGGGACACCTGGCTTATCACAAGTTATGGCACGTCCAGGCCTGTGACCAGAGGACATCACCACCACCAAGGGGAAGGAGTCCTTGGCGTCCCACTCAATGGACATCCCTGACCGTCCAAGCCATATCTTTTGTCCCTTGGAAGACAGAAGCAGCATAAAGACTCCTCCTTGATAAAGGGATGCTCCTCATCCATACCTGCTAATCTAGAAGCAGGAGCCAGCACAAGCCTGGAGGCAGACCTCATGTAGATAAGGAGGGGGAAGAAGGGATGAGAGCCTGTTTAATATTCATGACTGCTTGTTATGAGGGCTTTGATTCCACATTGCAAGCATAGCCTGGGAGGCTGAGGTTGGTATTGCTTATATCCTTAGTCTTATCTTCTTGTCTATATGGGGGGCATGCTAGTAATATATGCATATTTCAGTATTTTCACATCCTGATCATTTCCAAGAGACACACGAATACTTTGCCTGTGGACTAATGCTGATGAGTAGTTCTGCAGTATCTCAAGGAGATGTAGTGCAGTGCGTGCAAGTGGTACAGACAGGAGGTTGTTTGATGCCAACTCAAGGACAGGTGTTGGCTCTAATGTTCTACCAGCTTTTTGATCGTTATGGTGTAAGTAACCAACATCCCCTCTAACCACAGACCACTGCCCCAAACCAGTTTGTACGGCCGGTGACTGCCAGGATTACAAAACTTGCCTCACAATGCTGGCCATACGAAGCCAAAATCTTCCTCCTAAACACCATTAAATGACTTCTAGCTGCAAAAATGCATGAGTACTACCTACACATCCCAGTGCCTGTTTCAGAATGTAGTCTTTTTGCCAGAAACCTTGCCTTGGTCTGCAGGGACCATGTCCCAGAGCCCTGCTCCATCAGCACAGTGTTGGGGATAGCAAGCTGCAGCCCGTCTTGTACAGAGATCAGAGACCACTGGAGGCAATTGTTTGTGCCTTGTTGTCTCAGTAGGATATTTGCTCACTAGGATGCAGGCAGGATTTTCTGGCACCCAAAATGCTGGAAGAAGGACTGATGTTTGGCAAGCAAAATGGAGAGGTGGTGCTCTGCTGGCACTGGCACCTGCCATGTCCCCACCACTGACACGGGTGGTGGTGACCATCCATGCCCCCGCCATGTTCTTCTGGGTCTCCTCTGGGGCTGCAGCTGTGCCTGGTGGCAGCACATGCAGGTGGGGAAACGCTGCGGGGCTGCAGGAGGATTTAGACTTGCCCTGTTGTTGCTTAGCAGCAGCTTTTTGAGACGTGAGGGACAGGATGTCCTTTTTTAGAAGACAAGTTGCCTTTTAAAATTTTCATTTGAAGGCCATTTTAAAAAGTGGTGAACATTAGGCTTGACTGTGAAGGGCAAAGTTGGGTGGGTCCCATTTTATTCAGTTCTGGTTTGCTTTGAATCTAGTGGTATGGTATGTTTCTGTGTTTAATCTAAGGAAAATGAGCTGCTGAATGATTTTGTCTGACATGCTGAGGACCAAATGTTCTGGCAGGAACTTGTGCCAGGGACGTGAGAGGTGATGAGTCTCCAGAAGATTTTTCTGCTCATAAGGTACCAAAACAGATGAGGTTCTATGAAACAAGTAGTTGTTGGGTTCATGAGCTCTGTATGGTATAGACAAATCAGACACAGTGCTGATGGCAAAAGCACTTGTGGCATAGCTGTGAATGCCCTTCTAATAAGTATTTTAATCTTCAAATGCAGATGAGTATTATCCTTACAGAAAAGGGCCACAGGGACAGTGGCCAGTTTACCTGCACAACCAATGTACACACGCAATTGCAAGCAACATACACTTTCCGTAACCCACAACATTAGTAGGCTCTAACCAGGTCTGGCATCGTATGTGAAGTTCAGTCTTCAAGTCCATTTATCTTTGGGCTGAAGGTGCTGACTGCAATTCAGCAAGCTGGGGCCACTGTGCTGGTGCTTTCACATACACAGATAATGGTCCTTCTGGAGCAGGACTGAGACCAGCTTTGTACAACACAGGCTGCCAAACAGCTTTTGATTTCCAATCCAGTGGTGAAGAGCTTCTAATACCTTTGCTATTATTAGAAGCAACCTACAAAATTGCAAAGGTGGTGGATGAGCTGAATGCAGAATCCTGCACTAGTGGACACTCAGTGAAACTAGTTGGGGATCAATTTGAAACAGATAAAAGAAAGTACTTCTTCAGCAGTCAGTAGTGAGCTTCAGGAACTTGCTGCCACACAGTGCTGTAGAAGTCGACAGTATCAGCAGGTTCAGAAGGGACTAGACAGATCCAGGGACGACAGGCCCATTAAGAAGACAAGGCAGGGACGTGCCCTCTTTGATATCTATCACATCAGATACACAGCTATGGATGCTGGGGCAGCACAAGGGGAAGGGGCCGCAGAAATCACCCAGGCTTGCACATGTTCACCGAACAGCACCTCTCCTCTCGCAGCTGTGTAATAAATTACTGGCCTGAGCCAGTTTCATGTTCTTAATCTAGAAATGTGTTTTATCCCCATCCCACTGCATGAATATTCAGTTAGTACAGCATCCTAGATCCCCGTGAACTGACTAATGAGCTCAAAGCAACACAATCAAACGAGAACTAGGTTTCTTCATCATTCCTGGCTCTGATCCTTAGTCCACTAGTGCCTTGCTGTATAGGTGGTCCCATTACATAGCTTATGGCCAATCTCCCAAGTCAACACTCCCCCCTTACTGTGTACTGTGCTAACACATATGCCATATTACAGCCATTCATATTATAATGCAAAATCCTAAAGGAACCAAATGCACAAATCTTGCGTGGGGTACAGAAAAAGATGGAGAAGGTGAAACTTAAATGCTAGTGAAATAATGTACAAGTGGATAACACAAAAACATCCCATCTCTAAAAACCGTTAAGGATAAGTCATGCATAATGCAGCAATTATGGCAATTTTGAGCTTTTTAGATTTTGGAGGCTGAAAAACAAAACTTCCTCTGCCCCTTGCATTTCTTCTTTCCCAGCAACTTAGGAAGCAAGCCAGCATGCCAACTTTCAAGTATAAAAAGAAATGAAACCAATCATTGTTTTTAAACAATTGCCCTCGAGGCCACCCAATAATAGTGTTTCTAAAGCAGTCCTACCTTTGTTTTCCAACTTGAGCTCCTCTGCTAGCAAGCTGTCTTGTCTGTTGCCAAGCACAAATGCCAGAAATGAGAGGATCAGGGCATCCAAGATTCCAATAATTGCCAGGATATACGCCCAGCGGACTGAACAAGCCCCCAGCGTGTACTTGTCTGTCTTTTCACCACACATCCGTTTTACCTCATCTGAATCCCAGCCATCAGGAAAAATCATACAACCCAGGACGAGACAGGCAGCTTGGAGAAAAAAGAAAAGGAGAACAATGGGATAATGAGACCAAACTTTCGTTTTGATGAGAACCTACACAGTTATCATTAAAGCAACACACATTTTCATCCTGAGCTTCAAAGCTAGGTTACTTTAAAAAAAGTCACAGAATTATATGTTATGATTAAGTATCTAAAGTATATAAAAACCTAAGATACAACATCACTTGCACACCTTGCTTAAAAAAAAAAGTTACATCCTGAATTCCTGGCCAGTTTTTGAACCAGTACAATCACATCTTCCTGGTGAGACTAATTTCTTCATTGTAATATGAAAGGCTCACACAAAACAAAAGGTGAAAACTATTTATAACCTGGATATTCAAAGGAAACACTGGATTACTGTCAAACGGTCAGGCAAATGAACCAGTGAAAAATAGGGGAAAAAACCCTACCTATCATTTCTGGTAATCTAAGTGCTTGTAACACACATAGGTAATAGCAAGGTGTTTTTTTGTCAGTTGGCAGTACCCCTTTAACTGAAATATGTTTTATGCATAAGGTTTGTAAAAAATACAAGTAATGACATTGTTTTGCAACGAAAAATAAGCTGTCAACGTTGCTGTCAAGTTCTGATCTGGTTTACCTGAGGAATAACCACATGACATGTCAAACACAAAAAAGCGCTGATCCTTTTAACACCAGGAGAAATGCAAAGCCTCTACCTGCATGGAAAGCCAGATGACATCAGCCACCAGCTGCTTCAGGTATGGGCAGCTGTACTGTGGTGGGGACAGAGGCAAAGCATGGGTGTTTGGATGATTATCCATCAGTCTACACAATTGCTAGAAGGCTGAACTTAATTTTTAAGTAAATTTGCTTTGACCCTCAGCTCTCAGGAAAACTGCCCTGCTGTGGGACAGCATGGCTCTTGTGGAGCAAGCAAAATCGTGTGACAAGTTTGCTTTTTCAAAAGTAATGTGCTCCATCACCTGAAGCGGAGTCAATCTCACCCACTGGCCAGCAGGTGCTGTGATGTCCCCTGTCTGGATGGTGCCAGGTTGAGGTCTGAGTACACACAGCTACCTGTGTCTGTCCACCCACACCTTGGGTGGAATGTGTGCTCTTGGGCAGGGAGACCTCAAGCGTGGGCCCCACTGGGTTCTGGAGCATGGTCACAGTCCTTGCCCCACCATCTTACCAGCTCGGGTATGACCACAGCCTTGGGCTGGCAGAGGACTTGCTGCTCAGACCCATGTCCTGTGGTCAGTGGGGGGCAGCCTCCTTGGAAGATCTTTGCCCCTCTTCCTACTGGAGTGTGTGCCTCGCAGTGGAGGGTACAATGACAGGGCTGCAGCACCAAGCGCTTCTGCCCCTGAGAGGATACGGTATGACCTGAGGTAGTGACACATCATTACAGAAACACAGACAAAAAAGCAAACCGATACAATGAATCTTCACTAACATCATCTCTCCCCACTGAGTCACTAGCTGACAAAATCCACAGGCTGAGGAAACACGCCAATATGCCAGCCTCATAGGACCTGGCTTCCCACTGCCTGCAGGGACTGTCACCAGGCACAGCTGAAGGGAGCAGCAAAGACATGACTTGTACCGTGCCAGTTGCTTTTGGACATTGTGTTTCCCTGTGGGCTGGCCCTGCTGCGAGTGGGATGATGGACCAGGTGGTCTCCAGAGGTCCCATCCAACCTGAACCGATTTTTGGCAGTGGGGTGGCACGTTGGTAAGAGAGGACAGAGCAGTTGGGTACTCATGGCGCATTTCCTATCAGAGCAATGGGAATAGTGCACAGATATGCTTAACTGCAGCCCTTGGCCATGCTGATGGACATGTTGGCTTCACTGAAGCAAACGTGAGTGCAGCACTAGCCAGGGCACCAGCATAGGGGCATCTTCAGTAGGGGAGGATAGCATAGAAAAATGAAATAAGAAAAATCTAAAAATAAAGGTTATGTTGAATGGATTTTTATTGCATTTAGGACAATCAGAGATTTCATATGCTTTCAGTATTTGTCTGTACTGTCTTTTCTAACTTGGAAACAAGCATATTTCCAGCATTAGCCCTTCTTTCTTACTATGGCTGCTGAGCTACAGTGGATCAGGGGGGTTGGACTAGATGATCTTTTGAGGTCCTTTCCAACCCCTAACATTCTGTGATTCTGTGATCCTAAACTACCTTTTATAAGTATTAATATTATGTTGTTGCACTGTGCTCTAAATTGCAGGTATATGCGCTAACTGAAAAGAACACATTGTGTGGCTTTCGGCCTTTTAAATGGTTGTTGAGCCAGACCTCTGGAAACCGCAGTTCATACACCAAGAAGCTTTTGCAACTAACAGCTGCTGTCACTGTGCGAATTGCAAAAAGTTCTTGTCTTTTCTGGGCTAGCATAAGCACTGTCATTTTACATACCTCTAATGCCCACAAAACAAAACCACACCCGCACTGAATCAACATGATGTAATACTGGAAGAGAGATGTGAAGACAGAGCTGAGGAATGATAGTTTCCTTTTCACAGCTACACAATTGCTGTAGACAAAGCCATGAAACCATGTCTGCAGAAAGCATCCGACATAGAATAAAACCTGAACCTAAGGCATTTGACAAATTCTTCCTGAGCAGTTCATTTGTGTGAAAATATAACAGCTTATAATTAGGCTTAGAATCAAGGACAATTAAATAAGGACTGATTTATTCAGAACATGCAAGCTGGACAAATTGAGTTGCCTATTGTCTGCCTTTACTCATTTACACAATTTCATAAGGTCTTCCAAAGATTTTAGAGACAAACTGTACAATAATTTTCTTTCTTGAGCTGGTTACACAGGCTTCTGGAAAGATTATTTCTCACAGCCAATACATAAGCATTGTGAGGGATTTCATTGAAACGATGTGTCAAATCTGCATACTTCTAGTGCTGGTGAAAATGTCCACATTTACCCAGGTAAATGTTGACAACTGTTTACTATATAACAGCAACTACCAAATAATAATAATAATAAAGGATAATTAGCAAATACCGACATCTCTGTGGTTTTTTATTACATAGCACATCAGACATATGTTCTTAGTACTTCCTAAAAATAATTTAACTTTGTTCTTTTCCACCTAGGTAATTAAAAATATGGGCCCTTATCTCAGGAGCTCAGTGCACAGCTTCCCAGCTGAGTTCCTCAGGTTTCCAATTAACTCATCTTTCCTGAATTCTGTTCTGCATGCTTCGATATACCTGCCTAACTTTCGGAAGTCATTCTGTTGATTGCAGTTGAACTTCTCTTGGTAATAAGACACACAGGTAAACGACTGGACTAAATCCCTTTGCATAAAGGCAGATATCAAAGACAGGACATTATTATTATCTCTTTTGCCTATACAGTTTATGTGCTTTTTACTAGATGACTGCTTGGTCAACATCTTCAGATGCACCAATCATACCTTACCTGTAGTGGTTAACATAAGTAAGATTAGTCAGCCTCAAGTCTTCACTTGCTGAGGGAATATTTTGCATTGAATGCCTTTAAGAATACAGACTTGCTTAGTAATATGAAACAGGTAATGATTCATTTATCAGCTAGAACACCAAAAAGACATGTATAAAATCCACCTACAGATCTACTTCGCATTGATAGAAAATTTTACATTTTAATCCTTCTAAAGAGGATTAGAAGATTTTTCTCTAGAAGGAAATTATTTTTGGTTTTATACAAATTTGAAAAATTGAAATAATTTTATGCAATTTCAGTGAAACTGTTAAGGGATGATTTTCTAACACAGACATGGGTCCCACATCTTTGTCTAAACTTCCACTGTCTCTAATGGCAATGTGACTGAAATGGAAGTGTAACAAAGGCTACTACTGTTTTACTGCTATCCAGTTCTAATAAATTCAGAAACTTTGGGATTTGGAAAGCTCACCTATTGAATGAAAAGACCTAAATCATCAGTTCCTACAGACTTTTTGATTCAAGTAAGGAAAAAGTTAAATCTATATTGGTTGAAGACAGTCTTCTGTGCGTGAGCTGAATATGTTGGATTAGCACTATCTTCCCCAGCCTGCAGACAGCCCAGCGTAGGATGTCTGTAGCTAATCAAGAGCTTTCATGAGAAGCAGCAGGGGGAAATTGATAAACGACTGATTAGTGTCACTGACACCATTCAGAACTATTTGGGCAACTGTAAAACTTACAAGAATCATATCCACATGGTTCTCCCTTTGGTTGCTTGAGAAAGCTCAGGGCAGGAATAGTGTCTTTGTAACAAAGGCCCTGGGCTTCCTCCAGTCCTTCCTCTAATTTTCTTACAAGACGTGGGGTAACAAATTGGTTTTTTCAAGCTTTTAAAAAATAATGAATAAATCGTAGTTAAACATGCGTGATATACATTTACTTCTCTTCTTAAAAGCATTTTTCTCATATGAACAGCTAACAGAAACTGTCACATGGTTTTCCTTTAGGGCTCTGAGTGACAAGACAAATTATTCATACTAAGAGAGGGAGTCCAGGATTGTACCTCCTGGGACAAAAGGATGCAGAACCAAGACTTTCAGAGACTTTCAGAGACTGGAAACAGACACTGAATTGTTGCTGGCACTGACAGGCTGTGACTGACCAAGCTAATATTATCACAGCCTGTGCTCTGTGCATGAGCTCAAATGGTAATTAGCAAGCAAGTAGTTCATGATCCTATGGTAGTGCCAAATATTATATCATTGCATGGAATGAGGTTCTATTTATAAAAAAGCTGACTGTTATACAGGAAACCAGTGCTGAGAAATTCCCACTGGCAGGACTCCTCTCTCATCTTCATTCTTTTCCTGACAACATACCCAATTTGCTTGCATGTTGAGTACAATGACGGCAAGTTTCCTGATAAAAGACTCCAAAAAATGGAATGGGAATTACACTGACCAGCTATTTTCTTTCCATACCCACACATGCAAGAGCCTCCAAGCCTCCACGGTTCCAAAAACTGAGAGGTTCTTAATTTTCAGAGTTTCTTCTAAAGGATA